AGGACCAGTGGACCCTATCAATGAAACTGTAAAGATCATATCACTGGGGCCTGACTCCAATGGACGTACTAATGACTATAACCTCTACTACCTCCCTGGGATCAATTTCAACTCCCTCCCTCCTCAGTTTATTGCTAGTAATCCTCCATTAGTATCGATACCTCGTCGAGCGACCAATGGAACACACCTTGTTACCATGGTAACCTGGGACCCAGACCGTGGTCTTGACGGTGTACCTCGGTATTACATCATCGGTGGGACCGGGGCCGGGTATTTTGCAATACACAAGACCAACGGGTCCATAGTAACTCGGAGAGAACTCTTGGCTCTGACCACACCTACTCTGTCACTGGTTGTCATGGCAACAGACTCAGGACCACACCCACAATTCTCCCTCTTCAACCTGACAGTCGTAATCACTGATGATCATAAAGTATTCATTGAGTCTCCAGTTTATAATTACACTATCTCCGATAAATATTCATTTACTGGCCACACCTTTGGATACGTACATGTACCTGTACATGATGGGCGTGTCCTCAGTTACGTCATACCTCCCGCCCAAGTGATCCTACCGTTTGCAATCAACCGGTCGACCGGTGGCCTCAGTGTCAATGGCACTCTGGATAGACAATGGTACAGTTTCAGGACAGTGGCCAGTGATTCTACTGAGAGTACAGTGTCCGTTATTAATGTGAGGGTTCTGGACACTGTTAATAATTTCAGACCAGAGTTCCCTCCTTATTTCAGTGCCATACTATTACCAGCTTCCTTTCCTCTCAATACTTCTTTCATTAGACTGTTTGTAACCGACGGTGACAACGATAATAATGCTGACTCATCATATTCAATACTAGCTCCTCCCAACTCACTGATTGGGGTTGTCCCTACAAGTGGAGAGCTGTTTCTATTGACCACACCTTCTTTTAATAGCACCGTCATAACAATAAGAGCTAATAATGTTGATCTGTTCAGTGATTTCAATATCAACATCACTCTATTTCATGCTAATACTAACACTGATTTTGATCTAATTTCAAACAACAATGATTCCATTCTGGTACCAGAATCAGTAGGCATTGGTTCAGTTATTTACACTCTTCCAGGCAGTTCTGATGGTCGGCCGTTATTCTATTATCTAACTAATAATGATGATAGATTCACAGTTCATTCTGGTGATGTATATGTTACTGGTTCAATGGATTATGAAGCACAGCAACACTATACACTGATCTTCACCATTAGTGATGGTAGCAATAACAATAATAATAATAAATATTTTACACTAAATGTCTCATTAACTGATGTTAATGACAATCCATCATACTTCACTGAAGATAATTTTGTTTTTTCTCTTCCTGAAGATTCTCCGCTTAATTACGTTATTGGATCAATCAATATCACTGATTCTGATTCCGTTACCGCTAGCAATGTGATTTACTCTATCATCGATTGGCTTCACCCCCTGTCCCCCTCGTTATTCAATATTACCAGCTCGGGGGCCCTGGTATTGACCGGACCCCTTGACAGGGAAACCCTTCCTTCTCATACCCTAACAGTCGCAGTACAAGATGGCCAGTTTGAACAGTTAACACGAGTAACCATCAACGTTGAAGACATTGATGATAATCCTCCTTCATTCACTGGCTTACCACTAACACTGGTCGTACCAGAGGACAGGTCGCTAGGTGACATCGTTACCATAGTAACAGCGTTTGACCTTGACGACCCTCTCAACAGCAGCTCCATAGTTTATTCATTGTCTAGTTCTCATCAAATCCTTGACCTACCGCTCCAGCTTGAGTCCAGTACTGGTGCCATTAGCATCAATGGATCTTTAGACTATGAATCCGTCACTAGTTATAATTTATACATTACAGCTGCTAGTTCTACTAGTCCTTCATCATACTCCACTCACTCATTGTCTATACTAGTCTCCAATATCATAGACACATACCCGGTTCTATACAGTATGGAAGTATCAGTTTATGAGAACCAGTCCAGCAGTAATTACGTTACTAATATAGGGGCGTCCCCACCTCCCCCTCACCCAGTCACATACAGTATAGTCAATGGCAATGACCTCGGTCATTTCTACATTGAGGGATACACTGGTACCATTAGGACATTGGTACCACTGGATAGGGAAACTGTTGATTATTATAATCTAACTGTTCGAGGATCTTATTCTAATCAGTATTACACTGATATATCAGTATTGATCAGTGTTCTTGATATTAATGATAACAATCCTTCAGTCTCAGTGTCTAATCTTACGTTTCTTGTATCAGAGGACGCTAATGTATCAAATCAAGTCATCTTTGATCTTAACCCGATTGATCTTGATCAAAGTAACAATGGTAGCATACGGTCGATACTGATCCTTGATTCTGAATCTGACACGATATTTGATATTGATACTAGCGGACACTGTACATTAAAACGCCAGCTGGACAGAGAAGAGAAGGAGACCCATCAATTCAATGTATTATTAATAGACGATGGCCACACCCATCCACTCTACAGTACCTATTTAATAACTATACTAGTGACTGATATTAATGATAATGATCCTATATTCAATAACTACCAGTCTACACTAGTGGTCAGTGGGCCAATCTTGAGTAATGAAGTGCTGTATACCTTCACTGCTACTGATACTGATGGAGGAGCTAATGGTACCATACGGGGGTATTTTATTAGCGGGGGTTCCGGTGAAGGTGTGTTTAATATTGACCCCCTCACGGGTGACTTGAGGGGTCTGGAACTATTTGAAATGGAGTCTAATTACAGTCTAATGATAGGGGCTGTTGATGGAGGGGGTAGGAGGTCCATTATTAATATTTCATTGATAATATCATATTGTAGGTTCAATGGACTCTCCTTCACTCCACCATCTTATAGTCTATCAGTAGCTGAGGACACACCCCCTTCCTCTCTCCTCCTCTCTCCGTCAATAACTGATTTCAATAGTCCAGGAGTTTTTAGATATTCTTTATCAGTTCATGACGATCAGTTTATGATCAACACTAGCACTGGCTCCCTCTCTCTCCTCTCTTCTCCTGACAGGGAGCTCACTCCAGTCCATTACCTGGTGTTAATAGTACAAGACATCTCAGCAAATATGCTACGAGTTGCCAAGGCGATGGTCACCGTGACGATATCAGATGTTAACGATAACGCCCCCACATTTA